AAAAAAAGTCATGTGGCAGAATTAACAGATTAATAGAAACAGGTTAATTTCAGTTAAAAGAGCTAGTTAGGAACTAGCCTAAGCTGAAGGCCAAGCTTTCATAATTAATAATAAGTCTCTGTGTCATTATTTGGGGCTGGCGGCCAAAAAGAAAGTCCGACTACAGTAATTGAAATAATTTAACATAGACCATAAGACTAGGGCATATTGGAAGGTTCAGGTCTTGTCAAAAGCAGTTAGCAGGAGGAAGTGGCCCTGCTATGCCTGGAATCCCCAGAGCTGCTGACAGCCAAGCTTTAGGAACCCCAGTGGGAGAGGCAGGCAGAACGGTGGCAGAGACACAGTAAAAAAGACCAGAAACTGAGCTATTACCCGCTGAGGAGTTAGTGAAAACAAGAAGACTAAGAGCTTAGAACAGGGACGCCTTTAATCCCAGGAACCCCAGTGGTCCAGCTTCACAGGAAAGGTCTCGAAAGGTCTTGGGGTCAACAGCCCTTGTGCCTCTTTCCTCCAGTCATTTGTGCAGAAGAGCCACCAACACCCACCCCACCCCCACCCCCGGCATACCTCCAGGGGACTGAAAACAGGAGTTTGCTTATGCCGCCTGGCATTGGGGCTGTCTGCCTAGACCTTGTCATCAAGCTAAAAAAGAACCAGCAGGGGGGAAATTTCCACACAGCCATGGAGAAGGCTGGAAGGGGAAAGGACCTGTGGTTACTTACAACCTCATCACCAGGAATGAAGAATGAGTGCGCTCCCAAGCAGACTTCTCTACTTTGTTCCTTACCCATGTCTGTGATAGTTTGTGATCCAGCATGTTTCCCTCCAGCACTTTACATTATAGACTTGAAAAACATTTTAAAAGCCTAGTGGTGGTGGTGGTGGACTACACAGAGAAACCCTGTCTTTAAAAAAAAAAAAAAAAAAAAAAAAAAAATCCTTCTAAGCTAGTGTTTCTGGACAGGAATAGAGATGAGCTTACTTTACAGAGGAAACTCAGGATCCACAGGGAGTGGTAATTGCTGTCAAGAAGAGAGAAAGGAAAGCCACCAAATCTATAAGGTACCACAGAGAGCCAGGTGAGTTAAGGTTTTCTAAAAGCCCCAGGGAGGAAAAAGCATCATATAGTGACATGGTGTGTGATTAAGAAGATTGTAGGGGACATAGAAGATGGCTCTGCAGGCGAGAGTACTTGGTATGCAAACATATGGACCTGAATTTGTATCTCAGAATCCACGTAAAAAGCCAGTATGGCCACACTGGTCCTTAGAACCCCAGTGCTGTGGAGGTAGAAAGAGGAGGATTGCTGGGACTTTCTGGCTGTCAGCATAGCTCCAGGTTCAGGGAAAGGCTTTGTCTCAAGGAAATAAGACAGAGTAACAGAGCAGGGAACCAACATTCTCCCTCTGGCCTCTGTGCATACCTGCACAGGTATACACATATGCACACAATCCATACATTGCACACACATACACCACACACACATAACCCTGAAAAGTCAGATTCTCATTTTTGCATAATATAATCAGTAGTGTTTCCTTTGTTGGCACAGGCCCTCACTCTATTTATGGGTAAATGTTCGCATCTACTTACCCAACCTAACTTTGGTCATCATTGTTTTGGCCAAAGCCTCTACAGTTTTGTCTTAGTAATTTCTGACGTTCTTGCCAACTTGAGTTCATTAATGTTTACTTAAAGAATAAGCATTTTTTTTCTGTAAAATAGAATCATCATTCTTTAAATTTTCAACTGCTAGTCCTTTTGACTTTTTAAAGGTGAGAAGATTGACATTGTTGACCTGGACGATTTCCTGGAAAAGATAGGGATCAAACTCCCGGAAGACAAGATGATGAAGTTGCTGGGTAAACTGCCAACTGACGGTGAGCACGAAAAGACACCACAATAGCCATGGAGAAGCAGTAAACATGGAACTTGTGTGACGAATAAAGATGTCGCATACTACCCATTACCAACACATCACCAAACAGATTTGTTTCCGTTCCTGAGTTTTATTATTAGACTGAAAATATTAATTGCTAGAATGAAGCATTTTAAAAGTTTCTGTGGGGTGGAGAGATGGCTCAGCAGTTAAGAGCACTGGGTGCTCCTCCAGAGGTCCTGAGTTCAATTCCCAGCACCCACATAGTGGCTCACAACCATCTATTATGAGATATGGTGTCCTCTTCTGGCATGCAGGCATACATGTAGGCAGAATACTGTATATATAACAAATAAATCTTTAAAAGTTTCCGCTTCTTAAGTTAGAAACATTTATTCCACTTCTGAATAACTGTATTATTTCCTGAGACTTGAAATTTCTATCTTGCAGCTAGTGGAAAACTGTACAAGAAAAGGTTAATAAGAGAATTGGAGAATGTTGAAGGTGAGACATGTGATGCTTCTTTTCTTGGCAGGTGACACGGGGGTCCTTGAACCCTGCTGTTATTGTCAAACACTCTCCCTACTTGACAATTTTCAATTATTAATCTTGCCATCCCTCCTGTTGAGTCCTTTAGACAGACGATGGTCACCAAAACAGTTTCCCTGTAATAGACCTAGAAACAGTAGTTCCTCTAAAAAGCCATATACTAGAAACATCAGGAAGAAACAGCACTTCAAACACTAGGCACTTTTCCAACAATATTGATCTTGAATTTCCAGAGATACTATTTTAAAAAAAATTGTTGTTTAAAAGTTTTCCATGGTATTATAATAGATAAGAAATGTAAACAGTGGATAAAGAAAAGTTATTGCCTATATACAACAGGATACTAATTGGCCATGAAAAAGTGAATAAAATCTCATTATTCACAGCAACATGAACAGAAGTGGAGGTCATTGCATTAAGTGAAATAAGCCAGGCACACCCCACACAACAGACACCAAATGATCTCACTTACAATGTAACTAAAACATTGATCTCACAGGGGTCTAGAGTAGAATGATGTTCAGAGGTGGGAGAGAGCAGAGGGGACATTTAAATGAGAACAGGACGCCCTGCTGGCTACGGACAGTGGCACCACTTCAGGAGGGTAGAGAAAAGAAAAGAATTTGGAAAGTTTTAGCCATGAAGAAATTGACAAATGTTTGGAAAAATAGACATGTTCAACCTGATTTGAACAGTACACACGTATGCATGCATTGGAATAGCTCATCCTCTCATCTATAGGGATATTTTTGTTTGTTTGTTTGTTTTCATGTATCAGTAAAAAGATCACTTTGGGTCAGCAGAATGGTTCATCAGGTAAAGGTGCTTGCCACCCAGACAGAGAATGTGAATTTGATTCCTGGAACCCATGTGGAGCCCAGTGGAAGGAAAGAACTGACTCCTGGGAGTTGTCCTCTGACCTCCACATACATACTGTAGCACAGGAGCATTCTATACACACACACACACACACACACACACACACACAAATTAATTTAAAATAAATAAATTTAACTTTTAAGTTTCTTACCAAATTGTGATGTAATAAATCCATAGATTTTATTTATCTCCATTAATTTCAAGGTTCAAATCCTATTATATAGGTCCATTGACAAATACTCATTTGGGTCTTTAATAGAAACTCCAAACTCCTCACTTCCTTCTTTTAAAATTTCTTCTAGAAGCTAGGATCAAGGTATTACTCAAGGAGAGTGTTTGTCTAGCATGTGCATTCCCTGAATTCAGTCATCAGTACGTGCAACAACTCACACAGCTATAATTGAATCCTGAGAACAAGAGCTAAGAGCTCACAATTAAGATATGAAAAGTCTTGTTACTAGAGTAGTTTGAATGCCCTTTGCCCCTCATTCTCTGAGCAACACTGATACTTAGGCATGACCTTGAATGACTTACTCACGTCCTCATTATATTTCTCAAATCCTTCTTTTCTAAGGGATAAAGATATATTCAAATAAGGTGGATGCTTTCGTTAAAAATGCAGAAATTAATCTCAACAATGAAGACATGCAGACGCTGATGGACCATCTACCAGTTGATCGTGAGTTTACTTCCTAGTAAAACTTGCAATGTGAGCCCAGTAGTAGATCTGGGATGAGGGGAGGATATACGTGAAAAGAAGGGAGATAAAATGTGCAGTCTTCACACATAGCTACCACACTGAGCCCAGTGGCCACCACTCGGGAAGAGGCACCAAGAGCACAGACAGAAATGACAAGTCTCCACTAGACACCGTGGGAAATGCCAAGCTCGGACAAAAATACTGAGGATGTTCATTTTTTTGGTTCATAGTGCTAATCCAATAGTAAATATCACTAAGTAACACTGCATAGTTCTGACAGATGGGAGCAATTGTTCTAAGTGCTGTACAATTAGCTTATTGCATTTTCCAAATAATTCTGTGAGTTGGGGGTCTAGTTTTACCTCTGTTGTACATACAAGGAGACCAAGAGGCAGAGAATACAAGTTGCTTGCCCAAACTCAGCGAGCTAGAAAAGTGGCGAAGCCAAGAAAGCTCAGGTAGTCTGGTCCTAGATTTTTTTTTTCTTTTTGGCTTTTTGAGACAAGATCTCTTTATGTTGCCCAGGCTTGCCTCAAACTTGTGATCCTCCTCTTCTTGGCCTCCCATGTACAAAGATTATGGGTGTAAGCCACCACACCTGGCCTCGAGAAATTAACCTTCATGCTGTGCTGCCGTGAGTTCTTAGGATTTTAAAAGTTAAGGTGCTATAATAATATAGTAGCAGTGAGAACAAAATTAATCAAAGATGGATATGATGACAGAGGCTTGAAATCCCAGAACTTGGGAGGTTGAGCCAAGAGGACAGCAAGTTCAAAGCCAGTCTGAGCTACCTAGTAAGACTTTATCTCCCACCCCAAAAAAGAGAAGGGCCAACAAGATGTCTCAGTGGGTAAAAGCATTTGCCACTCAAGCCTGGTTCTTTTACAATGTTAAAATGACCAGCCTTAATATTATACTTCCCAGAGCTCAGGAGAGACTAACGGCAAGGACTATTTTTGGGAAACAGAATCTCAGCACACCGAGCTCTTTAGTCTACTTACTTTAATTCCTCTGGAATAACATCCTATTTACACAGCTTCAGTTCTGTTCTCATGCCTAGCTCTTTTTCTGCCTGATTTCTCTCTATATTTATCTACTGCTCCCTCTAAGTTCTATCTTAATTCTCTCATCTTAATTCTGCCTCATCTAGGTTCTTTTCATCTCATTCTTACCCAGCTAGTACTTTCTCATCTGTCTCTTCCTCATCTTCCATCTAGTCCACACATTTTCTCTGGTCAAAATCCTCCTTATCCCCAACCAGTTCTCCACCTCTAAGTTCTCTACGTACCTCCCAAGTCTCCCAGGAATCTAGTTATAAACCCAAGCAATAGCAATCCTCTGGCAGAGCAAGATCACCAGGCTTGAATTCTTATGGGGTCATAAAGGCAGGTAAGAATTTTCCTTAGACAGTGACCACCAGGCTTTCTTTTACAATCCAAAATGGGAGTGGTAATAGAGGAGGTCAACTGAGTACTAATGACCGTTAGTATATGAAAAAGGGGTCTATGTGCTCAGTCTACATTCTGAGAAGTGGTTAGGTAAGAAGTTAGGGGTCTATAAAGTTAGTAAGAAAGGAGGGTCTGAGCTAAATTGTGTAAAGCTATTACTTAAGGTCCACCAGACCTAGGTGGTGTCTCCTTGTGGAATTTACCTTAAATCAGGAGATTAGCATGTGGTGGTCTGGACTATTATTTCTGTTAGTCCTTGAAAGTGGTTAAGGAAGATATCTGATTCCAGTGTTGAAGGGGGAGAAATGGATGGGCTGGGAGGAAGGAAGCCTTTCCTGAGGCTGTTCTCCAAATACCTTGAATGTGTATGTCCAAAGAGTGATCAGTCCACACAGTTAGCAATTCTTAGGGAAAAATCAATTGGGAAAACTATGAAGGCACACATGATTTTCATAATAGAAGACAGCTGATATATAACAAGCCAAATAACACCAAAAACTCCTTGGAATTTGGCTTCCTTTGGAAGAATTCCTTGATCCCTTCAGGTAGTGGCTTTGCCATAACCAGCTGAGTTCTTATGATAGCTGAGTTCTTATGATATATTCCTGCGGCCTGAAGCACTTGGTGACCTAAATTCAACCTCCAGAGCCCACATAAAGGTGGAAAGAAGGAGCCGGGCGGTGGTGGTGCACGCCTTTAATCCCAGCACTCGGGAGGCAGAGGCAGGC